TTCTCTACCACACATACAATATACACAGAAATAATCAATCGCAAACAGAAAAGGGTTCGATTCCCTAGTCCTTTTAGTTTTTATTTCAGTTTCGTAGCTTCTAATACTTCTATCAAAAAGTCTCACAGTAGTTATTAACTGTTTAAAAAAACGCTTATATTGTGAGCTGATGATAAATGATTTACTCTCAGTGCCTGAGGTTTGATAAAACGAAAGTAAATTAGGAAAGATTGGACTTTTTAGGATGAAGCTCAAACTTACAGCCAGTGTGTAGAATATTTGACGAGGAATGTTTAATGGACGAGAAGAAAGAGTTAGAATGATTGGTAGACATATACAAACAAGGTTAGACAGACAAGGTTAGATGTTTTAGCATTCACATGATATTGATAATGATAATAAAAATGGAAATAATGATTTTTGCTTCCCGTTGTGGATTCGAATAATATAGATAAACCGATAGACAAACAAATAAGTAGATAAAAATAGATAGATATAGGCAAATAGATATAGACCTATATAGAGAGAGAGACAAATAGATAGATATAGATAAGAAAATAGATATATAGATAAGATATAGAAAAAAGTTAGATATAGATAGATATAAACAAATAGATATAGATAATAAATAGATATAGATAAATAGAAAGATATATAGATATAGATAGATATAGACAAATAGATATAGATAGACATAGACCTATATAGACAAATGGATAGATATAGATAAATAGATAGATATAGATATAGACAAATAGATAGATATAGATATTAACAAATAGATAGATATAGATATAGACAAATAGATATAGATAGATAGATGTAGAAAAATCATGACAGATAAATGTAGGTGATTATGTATATACAGAATGATTGATAAAGATAAATAGATAGATAAATGATAGCTAGTGATAGATAGATAGATAGATAGACATATGAATAGGTAGATATCATTTATATATATCAATATAAATCAAGCACAAATAAAAGAAATTTAAAAAAGTCTATTTTAAACTCGAGAAATAACAAAGGTGATGTCGCGGGGAAAGCTTTCTGACTTTCGAAATTCCCGCCAAGTTCAAAATGGCGGAGGGAAGAGAGAGAGAAAAATGTGGATGAAAGTTCGTCTCTCGTTCCCCTTCTTTCCATCTTATTCATTCCTCTTCTCCCTTTCCTCCTCGCTCCTTTCTACCCTTCTTTTCCTCTCTCCCTCACTCCTCTTTTCTTTTTCCTCCTCACCCCTTCTTACTCCTCTCCTCCTCACTTCTCTCCTTCTCTTCCTACTTCCTTCCTTTCCACTCAATTCTCCACTCTCCTCCTTACCCATTCTCCTTTACTTATTATCTCCTTCTCTTCCTAACTCCTCTTCTCCCTTTTCTCTCTCCACTCCTTTTCCCTTCTCCTTCCCTCTCTTCCTCACTCCTCTTCTCCCTTTCCTCCTCCCTTTCTCTTACTACTCATTACTCTTCTCCCTCTCTTCCTCACCCCTTCTCCCTCTCTTCCTCCCCCTTTTTCCCTCTCTTCCTCACTCCTTCTCCCTCTCTTCCTCACTCCTTCTCCCTCTCTTCCTCACTCCTTCTCCCTGTCTTCCTCACTCCTTCTCCCTCTCTTCCTCACTCCTTCTCCCTCTCTTCCTCACCACTTCTCCCTCTCTTCCTCACCCCTTCTCCCTCTCTTCCTCACTCCTCTCCCTTCTTCCTCACCCCTTCTCCCTGTCTTTCCTCACTCCTTCTCCCTCGCTTCCTCACCCCTTCTCCCTCTCTTCCTCACCCCTTCTCCCTCTCTTCCTCACCCCTTCTCCCTCTCTTCCTCACCCCTTCTCCCTCTCTTCGTCTCCCCTTCTCCCTCTTTTCCTCACCCCTTCTACCTTAACTCTTCTCCTTTCCATCCCTTCCTTATTCCTCATCTCCCTCGCCTTCCTCAATTCCTTACCTCTTTTCCTTACCTGTTGATAGATAAAAGAATATAGGTACAAACACACACACGCATACACTCACATACATACACACACATATAATATATTATATATTATATATATATATATATATATATATTATATATATATATATATTATATATATATATATATATATATATATATATATATATATATATATATATATGCTGATATATGTATGTATGTGTGTGTATACACATATGTATGAATATATGTAAATATACATATATATTTACCTATACATATATATGCGTGTGTGTAGGTAAGGCCGTCGCCTCCCGTGAGGGACCAGCGACCGAGCCCCCCCCGGGCCAAGGGAACACGACTCGCGCAGGTGCCACATTTCCCCCTAACTTTCATATTGTGATTTGCAGACTGCTATGGATAGATATAGATGAATACTTGAGTATCTAGATGTAGATGAATAACTAGGTATTAACAAATTGATATAGATAAATTGATAGATATCGATGAATATATATAGATAGATAATCATATAGGTATAAATAAATAGATATAGATGAATATATATATAGATAAATATATATAGATAAATAGATAGATATAGATAAATAGATAGATAATATAGATAAATATATATGTAGATAAATATATATATAGGTAAATAGATAGGTATAGATAAATTGATAGATATGGATAAATATATCTATAGATAAATAGATAGGTATAGATGAATGGATAGATATAGATAAATATAGATAAATTGATAGGTATAGATAAATAGACATATAGATAAATAGATAGGTATATATAAATAGATAGATATAGATAGATAGATATAGAAAAAATAGATAGGTAGAGATAAATAGATAGGTAGAGATAAATAGATAGGTAGAGATAAATAGATAGGTAGAGATAAATAGACAGATATAGATAAATAGATAGGTAGAGATAAATAGACAGATATAGATAAATAGGTAGAGATAAATAGATAGATATATGATATAGATAAATAGATAGATATAGACAAATATGGATAAATAATATATAGATAAATAGATAGATAGATAAATAGATATCTATAGATAAATAGTATAGATTATAGATAAATAGATATAGATAAATGTAGATAAATAGATAGATATAGATAAGTATAGATAGATAGATAGATATTGATAAAAAGCGGAAAAGTATTAGAGCAGATTCTGTGCTTCCCCGTTTTCCTTTTAATTCTGCCCATTTTCTGTGATGAGGAGGATCCAGTGTACCAGCCAATGTTATCATCATCATTACTTTCATTGATAATATTCTAAGTATTATGATTATAATCATTACTATTAGCATCATCATTAATAAACCTATAAATATTCAGCATGTTACCATTACCCTCCTTTTGATCGTTGAAAAGCCCATTATAAGGATTATTATCCAACCAGAAAGAATGAGAGGAAGAAATCAAGAAATAGACAAATTGCAAGATGGTGTCAATGGCAAAGAAGGACTGGAACTATTCGGGATAAATTGCACGCATTCGCTTCTGAGAAATACGATCGTTAAAATGCTTTGTCTGTTTACATTCACATCTATGAATATGGTGCCCATGGCATCAGCATTTGTATCAATTGCAATTTAGTATTCATATAATATTTCAAACGTCAAATTGTAATAATGATCGCTGATTGGTAAGTCTTCTGTCTGTCTGTCTGTCTGTCTGTCTGTCTGTCTGTCTGTCTGTCTATCTCTCTTTCTCTATCTATCTATCTATCTGTCTCTTCCCCCACTTGCTAGGAAGCAATAAACATCGAAAAAAAGATATAGTAATAGCAACAGAAAAAAATTGTTTATCAATGGAAATATGTTTAAAGAGTCAGATTATTTTGTATATATTTAGCTTCTCTTTCATGATAATGGATTTTGCTTGCAAAAAGACAATTTAAAGATTATGCAATTATAAATAAGTATATTAAAAAAAAGGTTCTTACGTGGTTTGCATAATGAAATACCACGTTAGTTAAGATGCAATGTATTTCTTTTACCTTCGGCGATTTATACCTAATTGAACTCTTATTAAATTTTCCCGTCGTTGGTATTTTTGTCATTGACAATGCCTATATTGAATAATAAGATTAGTTATGTAACCATTATTTCACATCATTATCTAACAATGCTCATTTTTTTTTTTTTTCAATTTGATATTCACGAAGTATGCAGCAGCAATGAAATATTACATTCAACTACGAACATCAGGATCCTCTATTTTCAGTCATATATCTTAATTTAAAGATCTTGTTTAATGTGCCAATAAGAGATACCCGGTGATAAATAATTTTCTGTAATTCAGTTGTCAGTATTCGATCCTTTACACTATAAAAATGTCTATATGCAATAGTCGAAGAGATTAAGGCTTCGTTATACCGGGGTCCGAATAGAAAAATCCCGGAGAAAATGTTTAATGGTAAAGGATTCAGCGGATACCTTTCCATGTAGGATTTCCAAACGTACTTAGAACCTATTTGCCTTTTGTGAGCTAATTACGAGATGAATAGTGTAATAGAGGGATTTATTCAAAACATTTATGGGGTGAATGAATACAATTATATCTTTAAAAGATATGTAATGAAAAGAAATATATTCATGATCGAGAGATGTATTAATAACATTACTGCTTATTCCTTTATCCACAAATGTCGACATATAAATCTACACTTGCAAGCGAGAGTGGCAACACCTGTAAATAAACTATTTGGCTCACTAGTAATATCGAAATACGTATTCAAATGGGATTGTCGATTTGGAAGTCTGTGAAGAGTATTGTTAATAACGATAATGGCAACAGCAGTGGGCATGCAGCAAAATAAGTGCACAAAAAGAAAGAAAAATGGGTTAGTGCTTTATATTTTTCCAGGATTTCTCTTTATCATAATGCTTAGTTGAGATAGGAAGGTAGATTTTTTAAGATTGGACATATTTCAGTGCAATGGGTAGGTATACAATGATGTATGTAACATCACATACACAAGTGCAATATAAGTGTGCTCGTGAAAGCTACAATATATATCTAGTGAAATTTTAGAGTAATATATGTCTCTGTAGTGTAGTGGTTATCACAGTCGCCTCCGACGCGACAGACTCGGGTTCAATCCCCGACGGATACTATAATAAAGACATTTTTATTCATGAATTTTTGTTTGTACTTACCTTCCGTTCCATGTATCTTTCTACTTTTGTTTCTGTTTCTTTCTCGTTTACAATGTGAAGGAGTAAGGAGTTGGAGTGTGTGGTACTGATTTTTTTTGTTTTGCTTGTTATTGTTTATGCGCGTTTTCGTAATTTTGCTGTTTGTCCTCATAATCATATGGCTGTATTAGTGAGATGAGAAGCAAGAATTGGGAGGAAGAAGAGGACGAACA